TTCAAAAGAGAGGAGGCACCGGTGACAACTAGTTCGTCGGTGGTTGACATGGCCGAGTATCAATGATACTTGAGAAAGAAGGTTTAGAGGAAGAAGATATGAAGAGATCGAAGAAGAGGAGAAGAGGAGAAGGAGGCGGCCAGAGAAAAAAAAAAAATTTAGGTCTTTGGATTAACTTGCTCTGATATACCATATAAGCAGACACTGAATTTATTCATTAGGGAAAAGATTACAACATATATATACTCTGCAGTCTAGGTATTAACTTATAAATAATTACAATGAGATCCTTAATTTCTCTATCTCCTTACAAATACAAGTAATATTTTTGAAAAACATGCTATTAAAACAAATATCTATATATTTATCAACTTTTTATGATATATAACAGAATCACATGTATATTTACTTAATTTTATGTAATTTTCATGTTATTCAACATAATACATATATTTTCTTCTAAATACGTGTTATTTTTACTTAAACCATGCTATTTTTAGAATTGTCATATTATTTTTTCTTTTTCTTCCTTGATCTCCACCACCATAGGTCTTATCTGTGGTCTGATCTTCTCCATCATCACCTCCTTTGTAACCACAACCATCGTCTCAACATTATATTTAACAGAATCACATGTATTTTTACTTAATTACTTGTAATTTTCATGTTATTCAACATAATACATATATTTTTCTTTTAGGTACGTATTATTTTTACTTAAACCGTGCAATTTTTAAAATTGTCATTTTTTTTTCTCTGATCTTATCTTCTCCATCATCACCTCCTCTGTAACCACCACCATCGTATCAACCTCAACCACCACCGCCTTTACCAGATATGTAACCTTCGATTCTTCATTCGTATCCACTATGGGCACCTCTGTAACCACCATCGTCACCTTTATCCATATCACTTCTACGATCGAATGTAATTTTTCTCCCTGAATCTTCCGCCACCACTGCTTTTTCCTAAACCACCATCACCACCTCCATAACCACATTCAACAAGGTGACCAAGACCACCGTACCGCTTCCACCACTAGGTCTATTTTTTTTTCACCGAATATCTACAACCACTTACAAACAAATATAATCATCTTGTAAAAACTATAACTTCATAAGGTTAATTGGTCTTTTCCTCACTCCTACCTCATCACAAAAAAGAGTCATTTATCCAAAGGGCTATATTAATTGATATGCATAGAGGACTGAAAAATTAAAAATCTATACATGCATATTTTTTTATTAGTTCTCTTTCCTTTGACCCAATTAATACCAAAACTACCCTCAGTTATTTGTGAGCGCTAACAAAAATAATAACAGGATAAACAGTGTAGTTCTAACAGTAAAAATAACATTATTATTGTCGTCGGAAACACTGTTCATCATCGAAACGAATAAGAAAACAATGATTTTTGTGGTTATCTATTTTATTAACAATGTAAGTCAAATTGTATCGTGATAACTAAAAAGTAAAAACATTGTTCAACCAACATCGAAAACATTATTCATCAGGAGAGGCAATAAAAAGATAGTGATTTTAATGATTATTTATTTAATTATTAATATAATTCATATTGTATCACAGTAACTTTAAAAGTTATATGGTTAACTTATATTTATCGTACTAAAATATTTATCAACTAACTTATATAATAACATGTTTATTTATTTTAATAATTTATTTATTACCGCTAACTTATACATTAGCATATTTATTTATCATGATAATTTGTTTATCAGAGTTAACTTATGTGTTATCGTGGACGTTTAAAAAAAAATCTTCTTCTCTTCTCAAGTATCCTCCTCCGTAATCATGTCTCCCAAAATTTGTTTCTTCTTCTTCCATTGTCACCTGCAACTCCATCCCAAAATTCTTCTTTTCCCACCTCTTTCTCTTCGTCCTTTCCATAATTTTCATCCCCAAATTCTTCAAATTAAAAGTTTAATCAATTCTAAACTTGTATAAGTACTCTCTATCCTTTTCTTATCTTTGTATCTCTTTTCAAGCTCTCTATTTTTGTAATTTATTTAGTGATGATTGTGTGTTGCATATAAAAACGATAAAGTTGATGAGCCAAATGAAGAGTTAGATTTAGTTTGTGAAGAAATAGAGGTGACAACAAAGAAAGTTGAGGGTTTGGAAGAGAGATGGTGATTGGAAATAACAACGAAAAATCTCTGGAAATAATGTTGAAGATCCATAAAACATGAAAGAGAAAGACAAATAATTAGATGTAGAAGAAAAAGGTAAAACTGTCAAAACATCAATCTCTCTCTTATTCACTTAATTAAAAAAAAAACATGCATACATACTTAATTATTTGGTTGTCTGAACATAGATAATCATAATACTCTTATCCAAATAAGGAAACTATCATTTACTCTCATTTGGATGTGCCCCAAAGCTACATATGGAAACGAGGTTAACATCTAGACCACACAAGACTTATACGAGACGAATCTTGGTAAACCAAACCTCACTGGAACACATGGAGTTAATACTTACCATATATGGAGCCAAAGGAGATTAACTTCCAACGACTCCTTCCTCATTCACTTGTGCACATTCTGGAGCCTCATTCACTTAACCTAGACAGCCCCAAAGAGTCATGGATATGAACCCAATCTTTCAAGACTCAACCCACCTCACAACTTTCGTTATTTTGCCGATTTGGTTCATAAAAGGTTTGAATGGTAACCCCATACAACTTCGGTTTGGGGTGTACCGCTTTGACAGTTATCAATCAGAAAAACGATATCAAAAGCTTTACCAAAACAGTTACTATCAACTTTTTTATACAGATTTTTACTATTCCGTAAACATTACCGCTCCCGCTTACAGTTAAAAAAATTATACAGCTTTATGTTACCAATCAGAGTAGTCCCAAAAGCTAGTTTCTTTTAATTTTGTGCAATTTGTTTCTTGTTATTGATTATTAGAACGTTGTAGCTGAGCCTATATAAGCTCATTAGTTCGTTCATAGTAAATCACCCTCGATCATTTTAAAGTAATAGAAATATTTTCTTTTTGTCAAAGTTCAAGTCTTTGTCATTTTATTCATTAGTCTTAAGTGAGTGAGTCTTTTAGGCCTATTGGAATCTACGAATTAATTTTGTTGAGTAATTCAAAATACTCCATTCGTTCGTTGATTGAGCGAATCAATTATATCCAATGATTGAGACACCACAAGCCACCAAAGTTGGTATGTACGAGAAACTAACCAAGAAAGCATTGCCAACGAGCGTTATGGAGAAGAATCATGATGTAAGTGAAAAAAGAGGGACTACACTTTGAAGACAAGCCATGGTGTGAGACACCTTACTCTGACCATGAGGAAGAGTACTAAGAAGAAACTGATTCTCAAATCAGTTTAGAAGTGTACAAGCAACTCAGAAAAGGAACTTAACATTATGAGGATGATTCTGAAGCAAGCTATGGAGCTGAATAAAAATGTGAAATAGAGGTTGATCTAACCAAGTCTTGTGATTAATCATCACTTGTAGAAGAAGATGAAGATCCACCAAGGACCCGACATACACTTGAGATGGGAGGACAAAGCCGAAAGTGAGGTTGGAAGAGATGATTCCGGAGAAGAATACACCAAGGGGAATGAAGACGTAAGTGATGCTGAAAGAGATGAATCACATTACATTAATTTTGCAGGCCATCACCAAGGTTCGAAATTCTATTTCCGCTGGGAACAAGACATGTAGGATTGGTTATCATTTAACCAAATTTCAGAGGATGAAAAGACAATTAATGTGGAGGATACCTTAATCGAGGATGCCTGCGTTGGGAACAAGATGCATACATTTGTATTGAATATGATGAACCAAACGCTTCTTGGAAGAGATGAAGCAACTTTTGTATAAAGAGTTCGTGGAGGATATGCTGGGAACATGCGTCAATACAATCTGCATATCTACACAAATCCAAAGCCGAGGATATTGATCTTAGCATCAAAATCAAGTCTTAAAGTTACACCAAAGAGAGCAGTCTACCCGAAGCCAAAGAAAGAGTCCATACCTACTCTAAAGGAGAAGACTGATTATAAGTTATCTTCTCAAAAAAAGAAAAATAAGCCAAGCCCGAATCCCAGACGGTAACTACAAATCCTAGTGCAGTTATGTTACTTGAGCCACACACTGAACTAAAGCAAGGTAAGTCTTCTAATTGTTCTAAATAATTGAATCAACATGTTATAGATATCATAAGAGGAGACATTTTGCTGCAACTTTCCTGGAAAGACAGGTAGAAGATGTCATATCACTAGAGCTAAAAGTGAATGCATCCAACTCAAATGATTGTCTAGCGAAATCAAGTTTTGCAATTTCCAATTCTAGCTTAATATTCTTGCCATTGCCAAAGGTTATTGATACAGATCTATGTCATATCACGGATCACACGGCTAAAGAAGTAGACCACAAGGCATCAACTCTTAAAGAAATTTAAAACCGCACAACTCTTGAGAAGCAACCAACGAAAACACTAGTAAATAGAACCTATGATCTTGATATTGGAACAATTCAACAATTCATCGTTGCTGATATATCATGGTTTTTACTGTTTTTAACCATGATATAGGTATTGTTTTCCTGAGTCTTTTTGTTATTTCTAGAGTCTTTTCTAGTCTTTTTCAGGTTAATGCACGTACGGGACCAATTTGGAGATTATTATTATTTTTTATATATTCTTGAGAACACTTGTGAGAACTTCCCATTACACATGTTCTTATGAAACCCAAAAAAAAAAAAAAAACCGAAAACACAAACGAAACTAGAACCGTTTAAAAAAAGTTCCGCGATTCAATGGCAAACGAAAACACAAGCCCGAACCTAAACTGTAACCAAAATTTGATCCCAAACCCTATTTAAGTGGGGAGGCGGACGATCTTATGGAAGCCGACAAGACAATCATCCTTTTGATCAACTGGAGATTAATTCTTACGAAGACAAGGAACATTGTCAATGATAGATCCATTTGTTCTGATCTGAAACAGTTTCCAAATCTTATGTCGCTTATGGATCAAGCAAGTTGTTTCCACATTATAAATCACCCATGAGGATAAAATATTTAATCACTAAGAAACTATAGAACTCTAAATACATTTTGCCCAACAAGTGGCAAAGTTATCATCTTGCCAAACAACTCATTTCTAGATTCTATCGTTTTGTTCCCCAACCCAAACATCCAATATGGAAGAGATTAAAGCATGCGAATAGCCAACTCCAACAGTTTGTATGCTCCTTTCCTTCGACATTGTCTTCTTCTTCATCAGATACCTTGTCTAATATCGACTCACAAGTTAGTCCATTTGTGCTCGAGACCTCGCCAGGTTCAAACTCGTAGCTCCAGTTATCTTTGTCTTCAGAAACTTGGTCTAGTCTATATTTATTGCTTCTATTGTTGTTGCTTCCCTCCTCATCCTTGGTTAGGATTCTTACACCACATTCTATAATCTCGCAGTACCGGCTGCTGAATTCAAACAATATCTTGCTGCCCACGTCAAGTAATATCTCTTCTCCGGGAAAGTCACAATGAAATATACAAAGATGATCTGTTCTAATTCCAGGAGATTCACGAGGGTGTACTATGAAAATAGGATATCTATATCCGCTCTTGCCTATGATTCCATACTTCAAACGAAGTTCTCTGTTTTCTTTTGTATGATGGTGATGGTTAGGCGAAATCATGACACAAACCTTGAACTTGGAAGATCCAGAAAACGAGCAATCTTTCTCATTTATAATGGTTAAAGAATTACCTCTGGCTTGGTGATTGAACTCTGGAGGCATTTCTCTTCCTGGTAAGCAAACAAACTCGTAGAGAAACAAACTTTGGATAATTACTCTTCTTGATTCTCCACCAAGTTTAAAACAGTTGGTGAAATTGAGTTTCGCATTTGGAGTTCTTAGAGGGGAAGTTACGTTCTCCAATGATTTACAATCTTCTGCCATTAAAAGTCTGAGCGAAGAAGGAAGCTCAGGCAAAGATGCGAGTTTTCTGCACCCCGTTACTTCAAGGCTTTGTAGGTGATGGATACGTTTGATGCAATATGGAATCTTCTCAATATCAGTATAGCTTAGGTCCAGAGACCATAGGCTTTCAGGGAAATGTGTTAAGGTCTTCAGATTTCCACTGCCTCTTATATCAACATAGGAAAGACGAGACCATAGCCTAATCGATGCAGGCACTTTTTCTACCGCTGTTTCTGACATAAGAAGTTGGCTAATGTTTGTAGACATATCTGGAAACGTTCTTAGTCGTGAGCATCCAATCATGTAGATCCTCTCAAGAGATGCTAAGTTGATGTGAGTTGGAACAACTTCTAGATTTACGCAAGAATTCATCACCAAGTCTTCTAGTTTATGAAGATTTGCAATAGTTGACGGAATTTCGACCAAACTTGTGCAACCATTTAGTTGCAATCTCTTCAAATTTGTAGCATTTGAAAGATCTGGGAGTTCTTTTAACTTTCGAGACGATGAAAAATCCATCTTCTTGAGATTTGTTAGCGGCTGAATGCAAAAAATCATCACACAACAAAGGAGAAACATTAGAAAATAATGAGAAACTACTTATTCATAGTATATTACACTTCGTTTTATGATTATTGCTAGTATCATCAGATACTAGTTGTCTTGTTTCCCATAGAGATAGAAGAAAAATATGATAACTAACCTGAGCTCCTTCCCAAAGCTTCTCGAGCTGGCTATCCCGCATGTAAAGCTCAACAAGATTTTCCAAGCAGAATCTAAGTGGAAGACTCTTTTTCGGGTATGCCTCCCAATGCAGTAACCTCAAACGAGGTGGAAACTCTATCTCCTCAGGTATGTGCACTCTATCATTCCCATTGTATCTTGTTTTGTAAACACTAAGAAATCGAAGATTACTCATTCTTCTAAGAGCTCTATCACTTATGATAACTTCAGCGATTCCTGATGTATCAAATGATATGCCGGACACAGCTCTATTACCCTATAAAAAGAAATTCAAAATATAAAGAAATTGTTAGCGCAATAGGTTAGATTTTTTATCTTCACCAAGTGACTTCAAAAAAAAAGTTTAAGGAGCGCATGGCAACACCCAAAAAAAATTATGAACATGAATATATAATCAAAGGAATAATATAAATACAAATTTTAGAAAACATACTGTATCATTTTCAAGGACATCACATATCTCATGTGCATCAATTAAGATTTGGCGTTTCCAAGGCTCTTGTCTATGAATGACCTGTCTACCCACTTGTTGTAGTAACTTGTGCATCACTATTTCCCTTTTAGTAGATATATATATGAGAGATTTATTTACTAGGATTCTCAACCCATGTTTGATATCCAAGTTAGTTTCAGCGAGCATTGCATTAACAATATCACCATCTTTATGGTTAAAAAAGACCGCAATGTGAAGAAATAGAGATTTCTCATTCTCATGTAAACTCTCATATCCAACTCTTAGTACTTCTTCAATATCTCGATGATCAAGAATAGTTTCTAGCCTGCACATTACTTCTTCCCATTCCTCTTCCTTCTTCCCACGTAAAGAAGAACCCACCACACGTAGACCCAATGGAAGATTACCACAAAGCTTTGTTAGTCTTAATGCAAGCTCTTTAAATCCATGATGTGGAAAGCTTTGTCGAAAAGCATATCTACATAAGATCTTAAGAGAAATTTCTTTAGATGGGAAACCCACCTGGTATGTATTATTGATACCATGCTGCTGCAAAAGCTCTTGATCTTCTGTGGTTACGATAATCCTGCTTCCAGGACCAAACCACCTAGTTTCATCAGCCAAAGCCTCTAACTGCTTAAGATCATTCACATCATCAAGAATGATAAGCACTTTTCGATCGCATAGCCTTTCATGTATCGCACCTAAATGGTATACCCTCATACCGTTTTGGTTTAAAATCTTTGAAAGAAGTTGTTGTTGTAGACACAACTTTAATCCATACTCGTCAAGACCACTATTATAGCTTCCCCTAAGATTCTCCATAAAACAACTAAGCTGAAAACTACTAGAGAGTAGGCTATGTAAAGCTCTGGCAATAGTAGTCTTACCAATGCCTGCAGGGCCACAGATTCCAACAATCATAGCTCCATCATCATGATTTAAATGTAATAAAAACTCAATTTTCTTCAAGTGTTCTTCAAGTCCCACCATGTCTGCAAAATCCCTAGACGGTGTAGCATTTAGTTTGCGCGAAACATCTCCTGCAACCTTTTCGATCATGTTTGCTTCATTGTCCCTAACAATCAAAGGAAAAAACGGATAATAAGAAGAAGCATTATTTTCCATCAAAATAGTCAGGAGAAATAACATGTGATTACTTTGGGGCACCTAAATGGTATATCTTCATACGGAAAATAATATTCCCAAAAAAAAAAAAATAAATAAATAATAATATTCCCTTAATAATTTAGTACTACTATTATTTTATTATGTTCAACTCGGTATTTCTTATCTTATTTTAGTATATAAGGTTTTATGTATTACTTCTTATCTTATTTTAGGATATAAGGCCTTATGTATTAGACATATTTCTCCTCAATATTTAAGAGATTAACAATTAATAAAGGCAATTAACAAATACATACATATATATATATAGCATAAATCATGATGAACACTAATATATAATACAAATCTCTATTATATGTTTTGTATCTATATTTTTACAATGTTTCATATAAAAACATTTAGAATTTATATATACATGACATTGCATTTTTAGTGATAGATCATAAAACAGCAAAATGTATATGTGAGTCCAGGTATTTCTTAAAATATAATTGGAAAATTGTTAACATAAATTAGTTAATAACCTTTCATTTATTACATAGATTAATTATATTGAAATATATTAATCTACGTTAAAAATTTATCGACTTATTAACTATTTTCTATATTATTTTATTTTTTAAAATTAGCTTATCAATTTACACATTTACTCAATATAATTAGTCATTTTCATTAAAATTTATTTACAACCCAATATATCTTACCATAACAATATAAATTGATTCATAATATGAATCCTAATGACATATAAGTAATAGTTATTTTGAATTTATTTCACAGTTTCTTATCGTTTATCTTAATATATAACAGTTTCGAAAATGATAACACCATTTAAATGACAACTTCAATTTTTGTTATCTAAATTACTATAATAATTTGTTATTAATCAATGCTTCACCTATCATCTTTATATGATTCTATTTTTGTGAAACAAATAAATCATTATATCATCCATATAATAAAGAAAAAGTAAATTTTTTTCCGCATATACCATGATCTGAATTTTTAAAAACGAATATAAATTATTCAATCTATGAAATGGGTCAAAAATTCCGATTGAGGAACGGGTCAGAATTTGAATATTTATATTCGATTTCAAACATTTAGTTTTTTTTTTAAATGTAATATTTTATATAATACAATAAAAATTTAATATTTTAATTTGAAACATTTAAAAATAGTTTTATTTGATATTTTAAAAGAATATCATCAATACTTAATTGATTAAGAAGTTAAAAATTATAAATACTCTAATTTGAATTTTTTAAAACGAATATATTTAAAATATTTATAATAGGCAGCGGGTAAAATATAATATATTATATGACCGAATCATGTTTTTGGCGAGAAAACATGGAGTCATGTTTTAGTGGAGAAAATACGGAATCGCCTTTTATGGCGGAAAAATACAGAATCAAGTTTTTGGCGGGAAAACTATGGAATCATGTTTTGGCGGAAAATATAGAATTACGTTTTTGGCGGTAAAAATTACGATTAGGTTTTTGGCCGAAAATGTGGAATCACGTTTTGGCGAAAAATTGCGGAATCGCGTTGTTGGCGGAAGAAATACGGAATCATGTTTTTGGCGGGAAAGTATGGAATCATAGTTTTGGCGAAAAATTACGGAATTACGTTTTTTTTGGAAAAATGAGGTTCCACGTTTTTGATGGGAAAAATTATCTCCTAATTTAATAGTTAAATCATGTTTGCTTCGGTTTATTAAAATCGGTTTAGACATTTGATTCGGTTATATTTGGTTTACATATTTGATTTAGATTGTTTAATTTCTATTGGTTTGGTTATGAGTAACCCACTAATCCATTCTAACCGAAACCACTTCAATCCAACTCATTAGAACCCATTAACCATTTAATCCATTCATCCATTAAAATCTAAATTTTTCAATCATTAAATCCATGGATTGGATTCGTTTGGGTTGATCCATAAACTTTTATCCATTTTGACACCCCTAATATTTTGTATTTAATATTTGTCTAGCCTTATAATTTTATACTAAAGTACCAATGTGGGGTTGAGCTAGGCATGACCACATTTTTTTTTTTTGAGATTACGGTTTATTAACCATCGGTTACGGTTATAAATTTTCAATGACCGTAACTTTAACCACTATATATACGGTTAAAACGGTTATGGTTACAATGATTACGGTTAAATACGGTTACGATTATTTGATGATTACGATACGCTTAATATTGGAGGTGAAATCTTACGATTTACCCGACTTTTTATTTTGCTTTTGAAAAGATGAAAAAGTATGTTGTAGGCCAAATTTCCTTCATTTCGAGTAATGTATCATTACAACACATTTTGTTTGAGAAAAAAATCATTTTTTTAACGTAACTTTTTGATATGCGGTATCTTTTACTTTTGCAAAAAAATTTATCCGAATATTCGATATTTTCTTTACATTATACGCAATATAATTATATTTTAAAGGTTTTAACTATGCGGTTAACCATACAGTTAACTAACATTTTTGGTACGGTTACGGTTAGTATATTTTTTAATCGTAACTAATCTATTTTTACGGTTAACGGTTATAGTCCGGTTACGGTTTAGAAATGGTTCGATTATGGTTTAGAAACTGTCCGGTTATGGTTTAGAAACGGTCTAGTTACTGTTAGATGGTGGTCATGCCTATGTTGAGCTAGTTGTTGAATCTAAATTAGCCGAAAACGTATGCACTTACGAGGACAAGAGGTCGATTCCCATTATGAAGGATAATTTGTTAAAGAATGATCTCGGTGCTCGGAAATATATGAGAGCATATGCCCCGAACTTCCAGGTTACCAAAAAATAAAAATTCTTAGATTGCAAATTTAAAATCATATAGTCCAGTATTGTAAATTTATACTCCCTTCGTTTCATAATATAAGTCTTTTTAGGTAAAAAGATATCGATTAAGAAGATCTACTTTTTAAAAGTTTAACCAATCATAAAAGAGACTGCATAATATAAATAATCATAAAATATTAAAGTAATATATAATTTGTATTGAAACTTGAAAACGACTTATATTGTGAAACAAAAAACTTAGTCCAAAACACTTTATATTATGAAACGGAGGGAGTATAAATTATTATTCAATATACTATGTGATACATGAACATGAACAAAAAAAATAGTATATCATAATATTATTCTACAAAACTTATTGACTTATCTTGATTTTCTATAATAAACTAAGTTCTGTGATTATGTTAAAAATAATATATTTATGGTCTTTATTTGAATTAGATATTAAAGGTGAAACCATCTTTATTTTTAATGTTCATTTATTTTTATTAAGAAATTATACGCGGTATGAAGCGGTTCTGTAAGAATATTTCGTGTCAGATTATTTCCTTTTACATTAACACTACGAGAGTGTTAATTAATTTCGGATGACAAAAAAAAAAAAAATTATACGCGGATAGTTAATCAATAAAACACCATGCATTATTTGTTTTCTTTTTCTCTAGTGATTACTACTAAGAACTTAACGAAGAAAAACACAGATTACGTAAAGACTAACCAGTTTAGTAAGTGTTCTCCGAGTATGTTACTCACATCAGTCAAAGCTTTGCTCCATTTCCGCATCTCCACATCGGTATTACGAGAACATGTTTCACTGAAAGCTTTCCCAAAATCGCCGATTTGTTTCCTTACATGGGTTGGATCCACTCCGTAAAATATGGTCATCACTATCTGTCCCATAACTTTCTTGCACTCCATAATCTCCACCAATTCATTCAAACACCAACTTGAAGAAGCATAGTTAGTTGAGAGAATCACAATCAAGATCCTCGATTCTCTTATCGCTTGTATGAGTGAAGGCGCGATTGTCTCACTTCTTTCAATCCCTTGATCATCAAACATTGTGATCCCGTTGTAGTTAAACTGTTTGCGCAAGTGACTGAGAAATGATTTACGGACGTCGGGCCCGTGGAAGCTCGAGAAGATGTTGAATCTGTAATTACGAGACTTGAGAGAAGAAGGAGAAGCCATGAGATATGCAAAAGAGTAAAGACTAAAATCAGATTTATATATTTCTAAGTTAATTTGGTTCTTAATTGTTATATAAAAGCAAAGTCTATAATAAAAAGGATCGATCCGATGCCAAAAATAATAATTCCAAAAAAATGATTATTCCGTGTATTGAGGTTAACGCGTTAAGACTTATGAGAGACGAAACTTCCAGGTAACAAAGAAAGGTTCTTTTCTGTCTTATATTCAAGGGTCAAGACGTTAAGCAATTTACACAAAACTACAACCATATATATGAAGTTACGTTTCCTTTAAGTTTGAAGGAAAAGAAAAGATTAATGCATACGAGACCAAAGAAATTATTGGGTTTTCTTATTTTTCAAAATTTTTCTCCTTTATAATTGATATAGATCTTCGTTATCCTTAATCTCTAAGGATTTGTACATTAAAAAATATATATATATATATATATATATATATATATATATATTAAAAAAAAAAAAAAAGAGAGAAGACCGGACTATAAATTAAAGTCTTTAAGGCTTATTGGAACCACAAATCTGTTTCATGTAGCCCCTTTCACATATGAAAGATTCAGAGCTGGTCCTAACATATTAGCCCATCATTATCAATGGGCTCTTAAGAAGTTCTTAACATTAATTCTTATAAAAAATAAATGAATAAATTGCTTATATCTTAAGAACCGGCTCTTATATAAGAGCCAAATAACAAGTTCTTAGCATTAGTTCTTAGCTTTTTTATATCTTCTTCTTTTTGAGAATGTCTCTGAAATCTATGATAACCCGAAATTTGAGTTTTAATCGAAAACCCGAATATTTACCCGAAAAATCGGATATTTACTCGAAAACCCAGGTATTTACCCGAAAACTCGACAATTTACCTGAATATTTATATAGCAGGCTACATTGTTTATTTAATTTCTTTTTTAATGGGAACGAGTATCATTTGTGTTACTATCTCACTGACGGCATTTATCCTAAATGGACTACATTTATCCAATCTTTTTCAATTCCACTAAATATATGGACAAAATTTGCCGGAAATCAAGTTTAAAAATTCGTGACTAAATTGAAAGTCAACATAAAATTGAGGATTTAAATCATAAGATTTACATAAAATGAGGATTTAAATCACCAGCTCCAGAGTTCATGCTTTAAACCAACAAAAATGGCAAACTGATGATTTAAATGACATTTTTCCCAAATTATATCTCATTTATGTTTTAAAAATTTAATTTGCAATAATTATTAAGTTTTCTAAAATTAAAATTGTTAATTTAATTTCATTTTTAAATTAATATTTTTTCCTAAGAACCACAAGTTAAGAGCCTACCATTAAAAACACATAAAAATTAAAAACAAAAATACAATCTCTTAACTCTAAAGTTTACAATTTTAATACTAAACTATTGTTAAGAGCCTACCAATAATGTTGCTCTTAGAGGCTTTAAACAATTGCGCTTTTTTTATATATTTTTTACTTAATTTTTCTAATCAAAATAAAGATGTATTATTTAAGGGATCTATGGAGAACGCACAAGCCAGATATTTTATTTTTATCAGAAACTAAAAGATGTTTTGCTTATTTACAGAGATTTCAATCTCAATTTGGTTATAATAATTTGTATTCAGTTGATCCTCTCGGTGCTAGTGGAGGATTAGCTTTATTTTATAATAATGAAATAAATTTAGAGATTCTCTACGAGAGTAATCGTATAATTGATGTTAAAGCTTTATTTGGAAAACAATTAGTGTTTATGTCTTTTATCTATGGGGATCCCGTAGCTACGAAACGTGATATTGTTTGGGAAAAAATAACAGAATTGGGAGCTAATCGGAAAAAACCATGGTTACTGATTGGAGATTTTAATGAGCTTACCGGAAACCATGAAAAGTCGGGTGGTAATTTACGGTCCGCAGCTTCTTTTGTCTCCTTTAATCTCATGATTCGAAATAATGGTATGTTAGAATTTCCATGTTATGGGGATCAATTATCATGGAGAGGTAATAGAAATCAACAGATTGTCAGATGCAGGCTTGATCGGGGTCTAGGAAATGAGGATTGCCATAATTTATTCCCGTTTTCTAAAGTGGATTATCTGGATATGATTGGATCGGATCATAGACCGATTTTATTGAGTTGTAGGAAGATGTGGAGTAGAAGGAAAAGACAGTTTAGGTTTGATAAGAGATGGGTTGGTAAAGATGGCCTTTCGGAGGCAATAGATTCAGGGTGGAATCGGACAAAAAATTTCAGAATACCCGTTTTTGTGGATAAAATTAAAAATTGTCGAAATTCAATTTCGTGGTGGAGGAAGAATAATATTCCACCGGGTCAGGAAACTATCTCTTCTCTTAAGATGGCTTTGGAGGAAGCATGATACGAACTCCCAAAGATTGCACACTCTTGTTGGTATTGAAATGGATAGATCCTTGGATGAACAAGGCGGGGAAAGTGAATGGCTGCGTCGAGGGCTATGAACGGCACTCGGTAAACCTGGTTTGAACCGTAGGCTAACCACCTAAGGAACGGTTGTGACTCTTCGGCTAACCACCTTGGAATCGATTGAGATCAAGAGGCTAACCACCCAATGATCGAAGTGATTTCGTTGTCTAACCACCAAAGAGATCGAAAAAGTTCACAAAGAACAAGAGAGAAACTTCTCAAAAGATTTTAGATAAAAGATTATTATTGAAATGAAAGGATTACATGAGTTTATAAGAAGAAGAATGAGAAGAGGCTAGTCAACAAGACTACCTTGAAAATGAAAACAAAGACTAAGACCAAAGACTAAAATAAATTAGAGTTTGAATGACCCTTGGACTCCAAGTTGGCGAGAATGTTCCATGGGTTTGGTCATGTCCTTTTGATTTATTTCCAACAATAATATAAATGCAATTCACATGAGTTTGGACCGTCCATGGTAAGCATAAGTCATTGCCTCGTTAAAACCTCTACTCGGAAAACCCATTGGGACAAAACCGAGTATAGGAAAAAGAGTACAACAACTTAGCTTGCGGCCAACCTCAAGATGAATCCACAAATGATATTGAGGTGAAGGTGCATTGCGTAAGTTGGTCTTCCTCCTTGTTCCTAACGTTGCCAAGTACTTTCCAAACAGCTCCGGCTAGCTTCCTTGTCTTGGATCGCGTCATGGGGCCTTCGGGAACGATCAATGCTTCCTCGGGAACCTCATCCAAAGCTTGCGTATCCATGATCATATCAAAGAAAAAAAAGATGATTCGATTCCTCAAGGGGAAATTTTGAGAATCGAAAATAAATTAAAGGAAGCATATCATGAGGAGGAGATTTACTGGAAACAAAAAAGTCGAAATTTTTGGCTAAAAGTGGGAGATAAAAATACCAAATATTTTCATGCCGCTACAAAAAAAAGAAGGGCACGAAATAAGATTTCAGGCCTATATGGACCTAATGATATTTGGGATGAATCAGAAAGAGGAATGGAGGAAATAGCAACAAATTATTTTAATGATCTTTTTAAGGGATCCAATACAGATCGTATTGTCGAAATGGTAAATGAAGTTTCCCCGGTGATTACGGAAGGCATGAATAGGGAGCTAACCAAAGAGGTTACAGAAGCAGAAGTTAGGAAAGCTTTATTTTCTATGCACCCTGAAAAAACACCAGGTCCAGATGGCATGACGGCTCTGTTTTATCAAAGGTATTTGCATTCTTTGAAGGAAGATTTAGTTATTTTGGTCAGGGATTTTTTCAGAACAGGATGTTTTGATAAGAGAATAAATGAAAGAAATATTTGTTTAATCCCGAAGACCGAAAGGTCACAGAGGATGGCTGAGTTTAGGCCAATAAGTCTTTGTAATGTGAGTTACAAGATTATCTCAAAGATTCTCTGTTTAAGGCTCAAAATTTTTTTACCTCGGCTAGTTTCTGAAACTCAATCGGCCTTCGTTTAAGGTAGACTAATTACCGATAACATTTTGCTAGCGCAGGAAATGTTTCATGGTTTAAGGACGAATAGAATGTGTAAATCAGATTTCTTGGCAATTAAAACAGATATGAGCAAAGCATATGATAGGATAGAATGGGAATTTTTGGAGGTGGTTATGTCACGTATGGGATTCAATGCTAGTTGGATTTCTTGGATCATGTGGTCCGTTAGTTCAGTTTCGTATCAGGTTTTATTGAACGGAGAACCTAAAGGAAAAATAATTCCAAAAAGAGGTTTACGACAAGGTGATCCCTTATCTCCTTATTTGTTTATATTATGCACGGAGGTCCTGATTGCTAATATTAAAAAAGCGGAAAGAGAAAAAAAACTGACTGGAATTAAGGTAGCAAAACGAAGTCCTCCTATCTCTCATTTGCTTTTTGCGGATGATAGTCTCTTTTTCTGTAAAGCAGAATCTGAGGAGTGTAAAACGGTGATGGATATTATTGGAAAGTATGGTAAAGCTTCTGGACAAGAAATAAATTACGATAAATCGTCGGTCTTATTTGGCAAGCGTGTAGCAAACCAAAAAAAAGAGAAATTGAAACAACACCTCCGCATTACTAAAGAAGGTGGAATGGGTTCTTATCTAGGAATACCAGAGAGCCTAGGCGGCTCAAAAAGCAAAATCTTTAATTACATACGGGAAAGACTTAATGAACGGATTAATGGCTGGTCAGCTAAATATCTGTCAAAAGGCGGGAAAGAGACAATGATCAAATATGTTGCCTTGGCGCTTCCAACCTATGTTATGTCTTGTTTTAAACTCCCTCAAGAGCTAACATCTAAGCTAACAAGTGCAATATCTAAATATTGGTGGAGCTCTAATGGGAAGGACCGTGGTATCCATTGGATAGCATGGGAGAAATTGTGTATGGATAAAGAAAAAGGAGGTCTAAGTTTTCATTCTCTAGATACCTTTAATGATGCCATGTTGGCTAAACAATATTGGAGATTAATCCAATACCCAGATTCTTTAGTAGCGCGAGTGCTAAAAGGTAGATATTTCAGGAATGTTCATCCTTTAAATGCAAAAAACC